ATATTTCGAGTTTGTCCAAACTATCATCAAAATATCAACTTTTCATGAATTGAGAGTACTGATGTACTTAATTTCAATTAAGGCTATGTTTTGGACCATATTTAGCACAATTTATTTTTTATCTCGAAAACAGATAGAGATAGGTATAGGACATTATTAACAAAAAAGTATTAAAATACTAGAGCGATTCCAAAAATGTATTAATATACGGGGTGTTTCATTTAAATAAATATAATTGCTAGGACTTCTTGATATAAGTGGCAACGCCGCAATGCTGAAAATATTTCAGATCGATAGAACAGGTAAGGAAATGTGGTGAAATTTTCAGAAAAATCATGTTTTGCGTTTTCAAGAAACGTCTAACCTACCATCGACCGTGAGTCACGCTGTATATTATGTGTCTATGACCGTCATCTGAAAGATGAGAGTTTATTCTGGAATTTTCATCATTTTCATGCCTCAAATATTCATTTATACATGCTCATATTACATCACAAACACATCTTGTGTGAGACCATCTCCTAAGAGTTGTATTTTTTGGTGATCAAACTCATTAGTGACATTGAATATCTTCATTGAAGTTCATAATACAATAATTTCCACATAACAGTGTGTTTTGTAATGTATAAAAAATCAACAGGATTAAATTTAATTACCTTGTCTCTAAAAATTTACCGTTTTCTTGTTTCGCGTAAAAGACGAACTCACAGAGTCATTAGTGATAATAAAAACCAACATTGAAGTTCAAATAAAACAATTTTCATATAAAAGAATGTGTTGAAATGTATGAAAAATCAACTGAGTTTGATTTTATTAACTTGTCCCAATAAATTGAACGTTTTCTTGTTTTGCGTTAAATACGACCCTACTTTTTCACACCTTGACTTATTGAATGAGCTGATGATCCAAAACAATTACCTGATTCTATTTTCTGTTGATTGTTCCAACTGCAACTTGTTATCGTTGGCCTCGCTTTCGAGTCTCTCAATAACGGCCTCTATTTCTCTATCCCGTTCTTTTCTGCACTGTTCTCTAATAGCCCCTTCTTTCTCCTCTAGAAGTAAAGCCTGTTGTTTCTTGAAATTGTTTTGCCATGTTTCATATTCAAGTTGAGATGATTCTTTGAGAAGTCGTAATTCATTCGAATGTCTGCGAAGTATAACCTAGAAAAAAATCAACTCAAAATTTGTTAGAAATAATCAACAGCTCGCGGCAATCTTTGACCCGAAAACCATTGCGAAGTTCTCCAAGCGGTGCTGTCAGCCCCTAATTTTGTTCAAAAAAGGAAGAGTTGAGATACATCTGATTCAAAAGGACTTCTCAATCCCTATTCGAACTCGTTTTCAGAAAATATGGAGTTTTGAAATGTCAGCAATAAGTTTTCCGAGAATTTCAAAAATCAAAATGGTACAATTCAGAAATGAATCGTATTCATGAGTGAACATTTGCAGTATCACTTCGTGACATAAATTTATGATTCCTTGTAGGTTTTGCAGTGAGTCAGGTGGAGTGCAATATAATCCGTTTTGTATGCGTCCCTACTGAAACAATCTGAAGGACTTGAGTTGTATGCCCGAAGAGGTTTCTCAATTTTCAACCTTTCAACCAATTTTCAAACTACAAAAGCAATCCATCGACCAGGTCTCCCCAAAACTGCGTAAACGTAACTTACAGAACAAATAATAGTCCAAGTAAATTTATTAAAAACAATAAAGACAAAACTTCGGTATCGAATAGATCAGGAGTATATGGTTCTTGTCTGAAACTGTATATTTGCCAAACAGGGAGAACATTTTTNATTTGCCCCCCTGCAAATCTTTTCTGTTTCCAAGATTGAAGAAACCCATTAAAAGACGTTTTGCGACGATTGACGAGATAAAAGCCGGATGGCTGAAAAATCTCAAGGGCCCACCAAAAAGTGCATATAAGAACTGCTTCGATGATTGCATAAACGCCGACACAAGTGTATTATATCTGAGGGGGACTACTTCAAAGGGAATGAAATAGAAATCGATGGATAAATGAATATTTTTTGATCAAATCAAAATTCACCTTATTTTTGAACAGACACTGTATGTTTATTTATTCATGTTTCCGTTATATTTTTTACTTACCCATCAGACAAACGATGAGATGTTCAATTGTTTGTTATGTATGAATATACCAATTGATTTACTTCTAATTGCACCATTACATAAAAAATTAAATGATAATTCACAACATAGATCATAAACGCAATGAATCAACAAATGCCAAATTGTGAAAAAAAACATCTACCGAAGTCGGCATTATTATTAAACTGTGAAATGCATCTCATGATCATTTGATTATATTGACATTTCCTTGTATGAAGAATTTAAAAACAAATCAGATATAGGGTCTAAAGTGAGTGGGTCTATTCGCAACCCATAAGGGTTTATTGTCAGATATAAGTACTTATAGCAGGGGAGCCCACGATGCAAAATGGGGATTTACTCGAGCGTCATTGGGACATATTAGGTTGCAAAGCTTAGATGATAGGAAGAAAAAAATGTTATATAATATATACCTTTTAATCGGTGGGGGAAGCGGCTATAGATTTTCAAATATGTAAAAAATATTGTTGCATGGACATATTCGAGCGCGTCAGATATTGATAGCATCAATGTCCTACGTATTTTTAATAATGTTGGTATGTTAAT